GTTAACTAAGGGAATTTGAGTTTAAAAATTTGAAACTTTTACTAATCCTGTAAATGAGATACTACACAATCAAGAATATTTAAGAAAATAGTTATATATATGTATATATATATATATCCCTTTGGTACTTACCTTGAAGAGTTTTAATATGAGATGCTACACAGAAATGTTTTAATATAGCCAGTATTTTTAATTTATGATTTAATATTTATATGCTGTTCATTAATCTTTATTTTACTTCTGAAAAAACAAAATATGTGCTTTCAAGGGCTTTCAAATATTCTATGATGAACTCACCTCCTAACATGAATTTTTTCCATAAACTGTTAATTTCTATCACTACTGAATCTTCTCCCATAGAAAATTTTCTGGAACTTTGATTATTGGTTTTAAAGATGATTTTATAATATCATATACCTCTGGATTTGAGAAAAATAATTTTCATCTGTGCTAAGTCTAAGTATACTGAGTTTGGACATTTTCATCCTCTATTTGGGATTTTCTTCTGGCAATTTATATTTCTATATACTCTTACTTCCTTTCCAATAGGTCAGAATAAAGAAATTTCCTAGGCAGACTTAAAAATGTTATTTTAGTCATTTCATCACATACACAGTATAATGCTAATGAGTGTATCATGTAATAATAATAACTTAAAAATATTTACCTTTTATTGAGTGTATGCTATAGGCTAGATACAATACTAGCTACATTTTTATGTTTGATTATTTAATCCTTACAAAACATTGTAAAATAGTTATCAGCATTCCCATGTTGTTAACTGAGATAATCAACTGATATTCAAAATGTTTAAGCCTAGTGTTGGTAAAGAGTAGATGCTCAATAGCTATCATTATCTACATAAGCAATATGAATTATGGGATAGCTATATAAATGAGTGAAGAAATAAATAAACAATGAAAGGATGAATCAATTTGTAACCTTGCTTATGATGACCCAGTTAGTATAAATGGAATTAGGATTTGGAGCTAATCTGTCTGACTATAGAGATGATGGTCTTTCTTCAAAATACATTTCCTGACTCTCAGCTCTTATCCTGTAGTAAAGTTGATTGAAACAGTAGAGTGTTGTAATTAGGAGCATAAATACTGATTAACCTTTCAATTTAAAAACGGCTCTATCACTGTGCAATCTTGAGTGAGTAATTAATCTGTTCTGAGATTTTTATGTTGTGGGCAATGCTGTAGGGTTTGTGGAATAATTTAATGAAGTCCCGTAAGCAAATCAATACAAAACAATTGTTATTATGTTAATGACTTTGATATAGATTACAAGTTTTCCAAGAGCACGAGATCCTCAACTTTAATCCAATAGAAGTTCTAAAATTTCCAGATCATCTAGAGATGTATATAAACTGCAGATTATCCTGGCTGCAGAAAGCAAGAGTTGTATTTGTGTAGTTTCTAACTTTCTACAGTAACACTAGGGACCGCCTGGGTGACACCAGCAAGCGCTTGCATTTTATGGCTTCTTTCAGTAGACTAAATTAGAGCTAATGCCTAGATGCAAAAATTCGCAAGGGACTTTTGTTCATTCTCTTAATTTCATAGATTAGATACTATGACAAGGGTAGAACAAAACAAAAAGTAAATGAAGAATTCTATCTTTATACCCAGAAAAATATGTTTTTATCTTTCCCCCATTCCATGCACATGCAGAAACACTGACGCATACTCACTTTTGCAACTGCAGTGACAGCCATCTCTATGGTTACTCTGCTTTCTAAATCTCACATTGTTCTTCACACCTTCCCATAAAGAGAAGAACTATTTTGTCTACAATAGTTCAAAATCTTAAATATCTCAGTAAACTTCAATTAACCAATTCATTCCAGTTACTTCAAATCATTATCTCTCCTCCTCTTTCACTTATTTTACTATCCATTCTTGGTCAAGGATTCCAGAAAATGAAAAACAACCTTACTTCTTCCTTAAAATTCTCAATTTACTTGACACTCTGTTTCTTTCTTTACAATGCTCTGATCTTAAGCCCTGAGTGTTACTGAGGAAATTAATGCTATTACTTTAGTAGGCTTTCATTATTGTTCATTACAAAATATAGTTGTTCTAGAAATGACTGGCATATTTTTAAGAGTGATTCTTCCAAGCTTATTCTGCTCTCTTAAAACTCTCTACCCTTAGAATCCTAACAGTCTTCATTATTTTTATTATGCACTGATGTTTGTTTTTAAAAAATTTAATATAAAATACATGCTTAAACACTGCTTCTCTAAGATAAACATATAAACTACCCATACTTCCCCCCATCTCATACTCTCTCTTACAATGAGTTGGATTAAGGAATAAATTAAACAAAGAGAGGAAATCCATTTTTCAGATGTGCCAAAGCAGGGGTTAGGGCTGGTGGGATTCAATTACAAGCAAGTAGTCTTTTGTATGTAATGACTGCTATTGAAGAAAGATATTCAAGAAAGAACTAAATCCTCATCACAAATGTGATCTGCCTTCACTAGTGTGTGGCTTGCTGAAATAGTGCTTGAAACCTGATCATTTTTAGCATGCTCTAGAAGAAGAACCTGCAGCATGTATCCAGAAAGAGTCAGTCTAAAGCTTAAGGAACTATAGCGACTTGTCACCATAATTATATTTATTTCTAGATGCATTTGTTTTGAGGGAAGAAACTAAGATTACGAGAATCTCTTGGTCCAAATATTGAGGAAAGGAGGAATCTAAACTTGTGTTATTTTTTTTTCTTCAATTTGTTACAAATATAAAAGTTTTGGTTTTAGGAAGCTAACAACTATTCTAATCATTCACTGTGGTGGAGGAAATGAACTGATTATAATACTAAAACTGATCATGTTTTCTGTTGGTGGTGGTATCAAATTCAGAGTTTAAAGAATACTGAGTCCTAAAAAGGACGAGAGTGCATTGTATAACCAAGACTAAATTAAAGCATATGGTCATAAGGGAAACTTGAGATGATAGAGACAGCGTGATGAGTGATTAAAGAACTAGGATTAAATATTGGAAACAGTAGTATGAGAAAGAATATTTTGTGAGATAGCCAGGCATGGTAGTGCACTCCTGTATTCCGAGCTACTCAGGAGGCTGAGGCAGGAGAATCGCTTGAATCCAGGAGGTGGAGGTTGCAGTAAGCCGAGATCGTGCCACTGCTATCTGCCTGGGTGACAAAGCAAGGCTCTGTCTTAAAAAAAAATAATAATATCTTGTGTAGGAGTATTGAAATCTCTTAGGGAGTGGCCTGTATCAGATCTTGAATGAACCACAATTTGCCTAAGCCAGGGATTTTCTTACTGACTCCCTTGATCAAAGTAGAACTATCTGAAATAGTGCTATAAAACCATTATAAAATTATTTTTATGTCTATGTCTATGTGTAAATTCTTCACTTTCCCTAAGGTAAATAATTTGTAATTATACAATTAGGTTATGAGTTTGCACAACGTAGACCTACTCTCACTTTTACTTTGATGAATTTCTGTTTTTAGGTCGTTTAGAAGCTACAAAGCATCTAAGATGAATTTCTTCTACCTTTCTATCTCAGGACCTGTGAAAATTCTTTTAGTTTTCTCTATTTCCAAGCTAACAACTTAGCCTCACAATATCATGGATGCTGGCAGAAGATGTGAAACTCCTGGATCAGAGACCATGAGCTTTATTATTCATAGTGAAGCAGGAAGCATGAGCTTCGTGCTCAAATGAATTCCCTTTGGCCCTCAAGTCCCATGGGAATGATGTGGAGCGACCCAGAGGGATTATGTATATACAGTAGGTTATTGTCACAACTGTGGAACACTGAAAAAATAATAATCACCTAGAAATAATATATATTAACACTTAACACCTTCTTGCTAAAGATTCTTCGATAACTAGGCTATTCTTTATTCCCTTCTCCCCACCTATATGTCTAGCACACAGTGGATAATCAATAAATAATAGGCACAAAAGTAACTTAAGAAAATAATAAAAAACCAGTGTGGATTAGAATTTTACATATGTACTGCTTTATTAAGGAAGTAATAAAATCTAGTATGGTCTATAATATACTTACTTGTCCTTATGGACCAGAGCAGGGAAAAAATTAAAATTAACCCAGAAAATTTACTTAATATATTTTATTTTTCAAGCACTAATTTCATATGTGAATTCCATTTTTTAGGAAACTCCTCAGTAACCAGGAATGTTAGTTTCAGTTTGTGCTGTCGCCAGTAATCTATCGCATTTTTGGCTTACAACTTCATAACTTTAATCTCTGCTTCTGTCATCACATGGCATTCTACCACTGCCTTTAAAACATCTTCTTATAAAGGCAACAGTCATATTGAATTAAACATGCTAGTCAGTGGCTGGGCTCTTATAAACTATCCCTGTTTTAGAAAACGTAGCTCTCTTAATCCCTCTCTCTCTCTCTCTGTATACATATGTGTGTGTGTGTGTGTATCATATATATGTGGGATTCATATATATATGAATCTATAGATAGTCATACCTATATATATATGAATCTATCTACATACACACACACAGAATTGGAATTAACTGCATTCTTCTGACTTAAAGATATAGAAATCTTAAGCCAGACTGATATGATTCTCCTGCACCCTTCAGTTTTATTAGTCAAAGGCTACCAGAATACATTTTTTTTTTCAAATTGAATTATCTACTTAAAAACAAATGTAATATGGATATATTTTGTGTTCATTATTGCTTTCTAACCCCCTTTGGAATTAATAAAGGATGGTACAAACACAGTCTTTACTTTTCCATTCTTTGTCATGTAGGATTTATGTATCTCAATTGCTAGGATTCAGAGAACTCAAGAATTCACCTATATGTGTTCATACAGGGCTAATATAGGGCTAATCTTCCTCCTTTAGGAAACTAAATATGGTGGTGAGACTTCTAAAGAAAAGTGTGCTCTTTCTCCCTCCCCCTGATTCCAGGGAGTTCTCATTGTTTGGTGTAAGGTCTTGGTTGTTATGGTGACTGTAGTGGGCTGAATTTGAAGTGAATTAGAGAAAATATTTCACAGATGAAGAGAAGTCTTGGCCTATGCATCATTCAGTGAGAAGTGTAAGTGTATAAAATAGGCTTGGAAACATTCTAATGATCGTGTTCACCATGACAGTAGATTAGAATAAAATTGGTTTATTTGTTGCGATAACAAAGGAATCAAACTCTCCATGCCTAAGAATAACATTATATATTTTCTCATATAATGTTTAGCTCTGTTTACTATAGTTTCTTGAAGGCACAGACATATAGAGCCTCCATCGACTTATTATATTGCTTTGTCTCCAGTAAGTTTCAGTATTTATAATGGTAGGGGAAAGGACATAGAGAAGCACACACCAGATCTCACATAATTCACCTTAGAAATGGTACAAATCATTACTGCTAGTATTTCATTGGCCAAAAAATTACATAATCAAGAAAATATAATCTCCTTATGGATCTGGCTAAAGAAAATAACTGAAAATAGTGGAGGGTACTATATACCTACTACAGTGTTAGGAAAATAAATATGTTTGCCTTCAAGTTCCCCACCATATTACATATTTTCTCTTAGTTTTATTTTATTTTATTTTGAGATGGAGCCTGGCTCTGTCGCCCAGACTGGAGTGCAGTCGCACAATCTCAGCTCACTGCAAGCTCCGCCTCCTGGGTTCATACCATTCTCCTGCTTCAGTCTACCGAGTAGCTGGGACTACAGTCACCCGCCACCATGCCCGGTTAATTTTTTGTATTTTTAGTAGAGATGGGGTTTCACCGTGTTAGCCAGGATGGTCTTAATCTCCTGACGTCATGATCCGCCTGCCTCGGCCTCTAAAAGTGCTGCGATTACAGGCATGAGCCACCACGCCCGGCCAAGAGTGGTATCTTTTTAAATTTTATTTATTTTTTTAGAGGGACAGGGTCTCACTCTGTTGTCCAAGAATTTCTTGGGATCTGACCTCATATCGAGAGAAGGCTTACTGTAATTTGATTTGATTCATCATTTTATATCCTTCCTTTCTGTTTCTCTTCATTTTAGGAATGGCCCAAGTATTAGGAAGCATCTTTGTCATGTTCCTAATTTTGAATGTAATTATTTGTGAAATATCAAAATAATTTTGAATGTAATTATTTTGATATTTCACAAATAATTACATTTACTGAGATATTCATCATGACTCTAGCTAGATTGTTTGAGTTTTTTACATTTATTCCACTTATTTCTATGTATTAGAAATTTTATTTCTACCAAACTATTTTGCACTTATTTTGTTCTATTTTTTTTTTTGCTTTTTAGGGGGATGCTAATTAGGATGTTTCTTTTACTTCTTTGAGTGTTCTTTCTACTCCAACCTTTTTGGCTGAAAATCATAAATGTTGATTTGCTCAAAATTCTGTTGGTTGGTAATTTGGACTGATCTCAGCTCCATGTGGTATCAGTTAAGCTCACTTCTATAAATTAGATTTTTTCTGTCATTTGCAAGCAATAATTTCTATCTTCTAGAAGAATAGTGAGACTGCAATATTATAGTTGCAAGAGGATAAAATCCTATCCCATATTAGTTTTTCAACCTGGTATAGGAACTATGAAAACAGCAAAAATCTGTTATAAAAGAATAGACATAGGTTGACTCTCAAATATAAATGTAAGCAGTTGTTTATTTAACTATTCTGTTGGATCAAAAGTTCCTAATAGCCTGTACTACACTTCTTGTAATGTCTACTGCTTTGTTCAGTAACTTTCATCAGTTTTTGAACAGATGAGTCTAACCACAGCCCAAGCCTATGCACTCCAGATTTTGCCTGACTGATCCACTTTAAGATCCAGTCTTCATGAACACATTGCATCTAAAGCGGGCATCGTCTCTAAGTGAATTTTAGAAAACAAAAATATGTGAAGATGGAGACTATCTTAAAATAAAACATGCTGGTGAAAATAGTAACTAAGGCAACAGCAGTAATGGGAGAACTGTTCAGTACAATCTACAGATGGCCATCTTAAATAAATATTCCAATTATTCTGCAACTGATTTGGCTAGAGCACATCCAGTGCAAATGAGTTGGCTGGTAAGGAGCTATTACACTGTTTCTGCCATAGTCCAGGTTGTTTTTTTTTTCATTATATCAACTCAAATCTAACAACTCTCCCATATATATATATATATATACACACACACACACACACACATATATATATACACATATATACATACACACACATATAAAATTCTGAATGGATTTCTAATTATATATATCTCTTATATATCTAATATCTATCTAATATATAATATATAATAATGTATCTAATATATATCTATTATATATATTATATATATAATTCTGAATGGATTTATTACACATAGCAGTTTACTGATATTCTTTGTGTATATGTTCTTCTTTTCATCTGGATTTTGATGTCTATAAAGGCAAACAAAACATTTTATTCAACCTTAATATCTTTGCAGATAATAATAGCTGTTGGCAGAAAATTTATTGTAGCAAAAATCAAGAGATTAGGGATTAATGTGATCCCTGCTAAATTGCATGGGCATAGTCACCATATTTTTCACTGGGTCTCAGATTCTAATATAAAATTAGTATTAGTGATTTTACAATGATTAGGAAACATTCCTAATAATTTTCATATTATTCTTTAAAAAGTCATTTCACTTCAGCTGATGAATTAAATTATATAATATATCCCTTAGGTGTGGTCAGTTACCAGCTGGAATCTATTAAATACAACTCAGGGTTTTTAATTGATGGCAATTAGGATGTGTGTTGAACTGAAGAGATAGTATGGTTTAGGGATTAAGAAACTATGTTCAAGAGCCAGACTGACTGTTTAGCAAGTTAATGAATAATGTGTTGCCTCAATTTATTCATCTGTAAAAGGACAAAATAATATTTATTTCATCGTATTATTATGAAGATTAACCAAGAGTACTTCAAATGTGTCTGGCATATTAAAGGGCTCATTGCCTAGTGTTATCATTTGCCATTGTATGTTGTTGTGATTTGGGAAGACTTTTGGATGCTCGCTCGGATACATTTTCATTTATCTCAAAGCCAGGAAGAACTAGCAGCCTGCATCATCATGAGCTGACTCACAAAGTAATTGTTATTGAGAAAATTGTGGACTATCTAAGGAGAAAACAGGGTATAGCGCCATATTTAAGAGATATATTTGTATATATCAAATACAGGGTATAGCGCCATATTTAAGAGAAACTATTTCACATGTGGGGTGCTTCTTTGTTTTGTGTTGTGTTTTTATTAACTTTAAGATAAAATACAATATTTTAGAAATGACATTATCCATGGAGTCGTCATTAAGAAGTTCTACAAAATAACTATTTTAAACAATTTAGTAAAATTAAACTTTCATTTTTACTCAGTGAAAGCAACCTAACCTGGAAGATTCAAGATGAATTGTGTCTTTCCTGAGTTTATGAGCTTGATTCTTGATTTTAATTGAGTCAATTCAGTGTTTGCTGCTTCCTTTTGACTTTTACTTGTACACCAAATAAAAGTAGAGGAAGGCAATGCTTGCGTTGTCCATAAATTGGGGAAAGGACATCCTGTATCGCCTGGTGTTACCTGTTCATCCTGGACTCTTTTGAGATGTTACTCAGAAGGTTGTTACCATTGTTCAGTGTTGTCCTTGACTGATGTCAGTGGTCTAAGCGTCTTCTGCGTTTCAAATGCACATATTCTTTATATCAGATATAAACTATATTTAAACACAGCTCCTCGACTGGGGTAGAGGTAGGAAATAGGAGTAGAAGTACGCATAGGACACTTTCTCAGAAATCCAGACAGTTTTTAATCTAAACACATGCCTACTATTTCTCACTCTAGCAAGCAGCAGTGTAAGGTTTTTGAGTTGGAATTAGCTCTGTAACTCTTAACCTATAAATACTGGACCCTTTTTTCTTCCTATAGATTCTACAAAGTCTACAAAAGCCTGAAACTGAACTCTGTTATTTCTCTTTTTCATACTCTTAAACCTAGGCAGAAATAAAATAGTTCCTGCTGCTTAACTAATGATGGGAGATCTTGGAGTTAAAAAGAAGAATTGTCAAAATAAGAAGTTTGATCTAAAACAATTACTGCCTATAATATTCATAACTGCAAAATATTAGGCAAAATGTAAGTCTAGAAATGAAATGAGATTTTTTGATGAAATTTCTAACCATGTAGTTGAAGAAAATAGACCAGGTCAATTTCAGACAAAAGGGCAAAAGGTGAAGGTCCATGTGCATTGGATGTAATGGGGTCTGCTGGTCATCAGCAGATAGTATTTTTTGTTTTGTTTTGTTTTGCTTTTTTACTATTCTGTTATTCTTGATTGTTTGAAAATACATTTATTACTTTTTTAAGATTTAGGGGAAAAATTACCTTAATTTAGCAAGCCAATAATTAAATTGCACCAACATTGCCATTTATCTGCTTTTCCCCTACCCATTTACTACTAAGCCTGTAATATTAATTCAAAACTAGATCAATAGAGTCAGCACCATCATTTAATGCAGCTTTCCAGATGGTTTCCAAGACGTCTCTGGTTTGAATAATTCTTCTCTTCTCCTCATCCTTTTGGGCCTAAAATTATCATCAGATTGATTATAATACCATCTATGTGACTGTTAGACATTTTGAAAAATATAAATATCCTGATAGTGTTTTCATTTTTTCCTTTCAAGGAAAAAGGGGGATAAAATGATCACAGGGAGATTAAGCTTTGTTACTGTACTGTAAGGCCTAAAACTAAGGCTCAATAGTGTATGTTGCTTTTCCATCTGGAGAAATAAGGATGACCTCAAATTGCCTACCCTGAAAATTCTCTCTTCATTCTGTTCCTGTAAATAAGGTACCCTAGCCAAACAACCCTTTTTCTCAAATGGAGGAGGTATAGTTCCTGCTCATCCCTGAAAGGGGTTCCCTTCCAGCCTGAGAAATTATTCAAATATGACAATAATACACTCTCATAAAAACCAGGGACACCTCAGTCTCTTAATACTACATAGCCTGTTTCCTACAGCCCATGGTTGCTCACATTGTTCCCTAGTGCAAGCCTT